CGCGCTGGGGGCGGAGCCTGGCCCTGGGGGCGCTTGGGGAGAGTCCTGAGGCGAGCTCTGGGCTCCGTCGGGCTTTCTTGCTACCCCTGGATCTAAAGGAATCCTAAAGTGACGATTGACTACAGATTATTTATGGAGCCTGGCCTGGAGGAAAGCCCTTTGATACCCTCATCAACTCTCTCGCACGCGCACACGCACACACACGCGCACGCACGCAGAGGTTGGTAACGCACACTCTCTCGCTGCAGAACGACTCCAGTTGGAGCCTTTTGTGCCGGGAGGAGGGGACCTGGTTCCTGGCTGGAATCAGAGACTCCTCCAGTGGCTGCCTGCGTCCCAGAGCCTTCTACCCTCTTCAGACCCACGGCCCATGGATCAGCCATGTGACTCGGGGGGCCTACCTAGAGGACCAGCTGACCTGGGACTGGGGCCCCGAGGGGGAGGAGACTGAGACACAGACTTGTCCTTCCCACACAGAACATGGTGGTGAGGAGGAGGCCTTTGGGGCTTGGGGCTTGGGGTGCTTAGATCCATGGCAGAGGCTTCAGGGGTCAGCTGTGAGACCTCCGCTGAGGGGTCACCTCCTCTCCCTAGCCTGTGGCCTGCGGCGAGAGCCGGCCCCGGCGGGGCTCCTGTGGCCCTGGCTGGCAGAGGTGCATGTGGCTGGCGATCGAGTCTGCGCGGGGACCCTCGTGGCCCCCGGCTGGGTCCTGGCAGCCACTCACTGTGTCCTCAGGTGGGTCTCACCCATCTCCTGGGCGATGGGAAAATTGGGCGACGGGCCGAGGATTCTTGCAGTTGTGGGATAGTCCCCCTTGAGGGCTCTTAGAGCACAGGGCAGCTTCTCTGAAGGGTTTTGAGACAGGAGAGAGATTTAGAAGGAGCAATAATAAAGGAGTTAGTGGAATAACTCGGGAGATTCATTCCACCCTTTCCCCTGGGCTGGGGAAGACTTTACCAGTAGGGGGATGCGGGTGGAGGGCGGGCAGGAGGTAACAATGGGCCTTGTTCCAACAGGCCAGGCTCTACAACAGTGCCTTACATTGAAGTGTACCTGGGCCGGGCCGGGGCCAGCCCCCTCCCACAGGGCCACCAGGTGTCCCGGTCGGTCATCAGCATCCGCCTGCCCCGGCACCTGGGACTTCGGCCCCCTCTGGCCCTCCTAGAGCTGAGCTCCCGGGTGGAGCCCTCCCCTTCAGCCTTGTCTATCTGCCTTCACTCAGGGGGTGTCCCCCTGGGAAGCAGCTGCTGGGTGCTGGGCTGGAAGGACCCCCAGGACCGAGGTGAGAGCCCTGGGTCCCGGGGGTGAGAAATGACTAGAGACCAGCCACCCTGGGACAACATTCTTTCCTCTCTAGTCCCTGTGGCTGCTGCTGTCTCCATCTTGACACCACGACTCTGTCACTGCCTCCATGAGGGTATTCTGCCCCCCGGGACTCTCTGTGTCCTGTATGCAGAGGGGCAGGAAGACAGGTGTGAGGTACAGGGGCCTGGGTGTCCTGGTCCAGGGAGGGGTCAGGCAGGGCTGGGCAGCTAGACCCTGGGGAGAGAGCAGGGTTAAAATTCTTGGGAGCTGGGCCTGAAATGGGTAGAAGTAGTGTTTCCTGGTTGGACCTTGGAGAGCGACCAGGGCTCTGGATGCCTAAGGATGGAGGCAAGCAGAACTTTGGGCTGGGCCCTAGGAGAAGGTGCAGGGGATCGGGAGGAAGGGTAAGAGACCCTTTGGGCCTTGGCTTTTACTCCGCAGGTGACCTCCGCACCTCCGCTCGTGTGCCAGAGTGAGGGAGGCTCCTGGGTCCTTGTGGGCATGGCTGTTAGAGGGAGCCGGGAGCTGTTTGCCACCATTGGCCCTGAAGAGGCCTGGATCTCCCAGATAGTGGGAGAGGCTCATTTCTTGCCCCCCAGTGGCTCCCCCTACTGGCCCCCTGAAAGCAGCTACCTCTGTCCTCTGGACATGGCTGGGGCCTCAGGCTCCCCTCCTGCTGCTCTGTTCCTGCTGCTACTACTGACCCCCCTGATTCAGGGCTGAGGGGTCTGGCTCCCCGGACCACCTCCCCCCCTCCTTCCCCACCCCCTCCAGCCCTCTACTTCCTTCCCAGTGGGGTTGGAATGTGACTTAACCGGCTTTCAGTCCCTTTGCCAGAACCTCCAGAGCTCCCCACCCACCTAGACTGCAATGGCTTCAGATAATTGGGCCTCAGTGCCGGGATATTTTGTGCCCTGGAATCCTTGGGGACGGCTCATGCCGGCAATAAAGGTGTAAACAAAGACACGTGGCCCTGTGGCATTGCTGAGGGCAGGTGGGGGGCTAGAGGGAAGCCAAAGGGCCCCTCCCTCTTGAGCTTCCGTGAGTCAGGCCTTGGGCTCCCAGGAAATGTGTCCCTGATAACGTGGCAGCTGTCCCTCATTCCTGCCCCAGGGTGGGGGAGGTTGGGCAGCCAGCTGGGTGTGTGTCACCTCCCCAAAGGAATCAGCATCCCCAACACCTGCTGGACACCTCAGCCCTAGCTCTGACCCTGCTGCCCCTCCCCCCAGAGTAAGAAGGACTCAGGGTGAGGGTCACAGAAGGAAGGGTCCAGGAGTCTGGGAGTCCAGGGTCTGTCTACAGTATCCTATACCCACAGAGAGCCACCCCCATCTACACACCCTGATGAATGATGTCCCCAAATAGACACCTCCAGTGTCCCCATGACCCCCATACCCTTCAAGGGTCCACAGCTGTCACATCCGGCCCAGTGCTCTCGGGGTTTGAGGCCCATCACCATCCTTGTATATACATCCCTCCACCTCACCCACCACTTCTTGGTTCACCTCCCTGCATTAATGCAGGCACGTTCCCTGCTAACTACTAAGTCATGGCACAGCTAGGGTCTGAGGGATAAACCCTCGAAGTGCTCCCTATATAGTGGGGACACACATGGACACCCCTGGCTGGGGATCAGGAAAGGGCCATAGAGGTGACGTTTGAGCACAGAAAAAAAGCAAATGGGGACCTGGGGAAGGGACGTGCTTGCGGTGGAAGCCAGATGATGAAGGTAGCAGAGGGGTCACCTCTGGGGCTGGAGTCAAATCTCTGGTTGAGTAGGTAGAGGAAGGGGGAGGGGACACCTAAAGGGCAGCTGGAAGTTCTCCTTGGGGGTCTGAGGAGACGGGCAGAGGTCAAAGGCCAGGCTTATCTTTAGCTGCCAGGTCCCAAATAGAATATTCCCTTGAATCTCCATAGGGACGTACATCCCCACTTGCTCCCCATACTCAGTCAGTCACCCATATGCCATTCCCCACAAACATTTTTAAAAATATTTTTTTATTGATTTCAGAGAGGGAGATAGAAATATCAATGATGAGAGAGAATCATTGATGAGCTGCCTCCTGCACGCCCCACACTGAGGATTGAGCCCACAACCCAGGCATGTGCCCTTGACCGGAAACAAACCTAGGACCCTTCAGTCCGCAGGGTGACGCTCTATCCACTGAGCCAGACCAGCTAGAGATCCCCACAGACATTTAATATCTACCCAAATACACCCACAATGCCTAGTGTCTTGCCCCTCCCCAGCTTAGACCCTTCAGTCAGCCTAGGTCCTCTCATCACTCCAGGAATTCCCTGCCCTCAAGGGCCTGAAGTCTTGGCTTACAGGTCCAGACACCTAGCCTATGGAAGGCGGGTGGGGAAGTGGGGCCCTGTTTCTCTGAACTTTGAAGCCAACACGCATTTGCAATCGCCCAGACTCATACACTCACAGAGGAAGTGCCCACCCCTGACCAGTCACCTGACCAGTCACGGGGTCTTCTTTGCCTGAGCCTGTGCCTCCTGCGCCCTCCGCCTGAGCCACTCCTCCCCACCTTTGCCTTGTGAACACTCTTCCGTAACCTCTTTAGGTCTCAGTTCTGAAGGCACTTCCTTGAGGAGCCCTTCTTGATGCCAGCCTAGGTCAAGCTCCTGGAAACGGCTCCCCGATCCCCCATTCTCCCTTCTGTGCCACGGTTGCTAGTTTGAAATCATTCTCTAATTGCTTGTGATGATTTGTGTCCTCTGTCATCCCTACTTCAGAGTGAGTTCAGGGAAGGCAGGGACGGTGTCTGTTTTGTCTCCTGTGCCTGGAACAGAGTAGGCACTCAGTAAATATTTGTGAGATGATTGGCACTGCCAGACACGCTCACCACACACCGATGAGGCTGCCGGCTCGGCAGAAGGGCCTGGACCGGCCCTAGCCTGAGGCAAACCCAGGTTCCTAGGCTCAGAGACGGGGCCTAAGAAGGGAAGGGGGTAGGAGCGCCTCTGGCCCCAGGACAACAAGGCTGAGCCAAGCCCTGGGAGGCATAACTGGTTCCGGAGACCTGTAAGACCTGGGCCAACAGCACTGTGGCCCTCCAGGGAGCTGGGCCATTGGACATTCCAGTTTCCATCCCTGCCTGGGGCTGCTCTCCCGGGCATCCGCCGCCCCAAGCGCGCACGCTTCCGCGCAGGCACACACTCACCTGGGGGTCTGGGCGATAGGGACGTCAGCGGCGGGAAGCTGGCAGAGCCGAGCCGGGAGGGCGGGGCCAGGGGAGGGGCGGGCAGGTAGGCGCTTTTCTCCCAGGAGCTGCCACCTGCGGCTTTCTGCGCAGCCAGGCAGAGCTGCAGACGTGTCCTCTCTGAGGGCTGGATTGCCGTCGTCTCCTCGGTGCCCGCGCCCTGCCCTTGGAGCTAGCCTGGGACACCTGCTCCGACCTTCCCCGCGCGGACTCCAGCAGCCCTTCCTTCCCTTTGGGCCCGACGCCTGAATCTTGCCTTCGAATCCAGTCCTAGGTCCCTTCCCTTGGGTGTCTGGTGGCTCCCCAGGGGCCCTCACCCCGGGTCATGGCCCAGAGGGCAGGCCTGGGGCCTAGGCGGCTGGAGGCCGCTGCCATTCTGCTTTTGCTTGGATTATTCCGATCCGGGCTGGGTGAGTTGAACGGGCAGAGGGCATGGGGAGGGGTTATCCTGGCTCAAGAGCCCCCGCGTCCTAGCACCCTAGCGCCCTAGCTCTTGGCTTCTCTCTCTCCCTCCGCTTGGACTTCCTGGGGGGATGGGCAGCTCTCCTGACAAGTGGCAGGTGCTCAGAAGTCTGGGAACCCGGGTCTTTCCGCTCACCCCTCCCTCGTTCTCTTGCCTTCCAGGAGCCGAGGGGTCC